TCCTCCTTTATTCCCAATCGAACATGGTTGAACAAGCGGTCACGTGCTCCTGCCTGCCCAAGTCACCTGGTCACCGCGCCAGCAGGCGACAACTTTCACACCAAGGTTCAACTCGAGTTCAACTCGAGTGACAGGACTGCACCCCAAAAAGGTCGAACAAGCTGTAAAGTTGTACCCTGCAGGCACGGTGACCAGGTGACTGGTGTACGCAGGAGCACGTGCTTGTTCAACCATGCCGAGGTTCGATTGGGAATAAAGGAGGAACGCAGCATCGCAGCCTTTTCGGACCAAAACCAGTGGACTCAGCGTCCAAAAGGCTACAACATATGGGCCAATCGCGGTCGTCCGTGCTTTTATAAGAATGAAATGGCGCTTTTAGAGACATTTTGCATACAAATCCCCATCTAGTAGGGCGCAGTCACCCAGTTTCGGTGGAAGTGCGTGAGTTCGATCGGGATTATAGGAGGATCTGTACGAATGGTACTCAGCCCGCGACCTGACAGTCGAGCTGTCACGGTCGTGTGCTGCTATGCCCAACTCTTCAACGATCCACCATCAACCCTCAGGAAGCTGACAACTTCTACGAACTTCTCAACAATGTTGTATTGAAAACGAAGAACCGTGACGAATTATGGATATTAGGAGATTTGAATGCTAAAGTTGGGAGTTCGAGGCCGGGATCTGTCAGCCCTGTTGGATGCTACTCTAAACACACTATATCAAACTCAAATGGATGCAGACTTGTAGAATTTTGCGAGGACAACCGGCTGGTGCTAACCAACACACTGTTCAAGCACAGGATGCAACATCGCTCAACATGGTTTTCTGATGGTTTAGTGCATGCGGATGGAAAGCCTGTGCGGAATATGATAGATTACGTGATAGTAAAACGTTCCACCATGGCCGCGGTTCTAGATGCAAGATCGTTTGGAGGCTTCACCACGCGCTCTGATCATCACCCTGTTATTGCAGTTCTTGGCATCGCACTTTCTAAAGTCCATCCGACCGTCAAACAACAAGACCCATGTTTCAATCGCTATAACCGTCCAACCGCTGAATCGTCGAAACTGTTCTGCGACCGTCTCAAGGAGAAGTTACCTTCTCTGCTTCCACTCTCCGCAAACATCGACAATGACTCCGTGGATAAGGCGTGGCGTGGATTCGTCTGGGCTACGCATGATGCAGCGCAGGATGCATTCGGGAAAGTGCCCACTGGTTCTGCTCCGAAAGCAAGCACGAACCCTCGCGTTGCATCCTTATCCACTGAACAGAAGAATCTGCACTGCCGCATAAACGCTGAACCTGATCCAGAGCAACGTAAAGCTTTAAAGATTGAAAGATCTGCAAAACTCCACGAGATTCGAAGGATACTACAGAAGGAGGGCGAGCAATATTGGCAACGTAAGGCTGTTGAAGTAGATGCTTTACGCCCTGACCCACGGTCCTACTTCAACGCCATCAACAACTTACGCCAACTACGCTCTGGGAAGAAGGCTGCGCCTGTGCGTCTTGCTGACGCAGACGGCAGAATCATGGCAGACATCTCATGGAATCTTAATGCCTTTAATGAATATTATGAATCGGTATTTTACACTGATGGCCAGCCACTCGACCTCAGGCAGCAATCGAATGAGGAAGATCCATTCACAATTGAAGAAGTACGGTCTGCAATTATCAAGCAGAAGTCTGGTGGTGCTGTCGGTCCTGATGGTATCAGTGCTGATGCTTTGAAGTCAGCTAAAAACCTTTTCGCACCCTGGCTGACGAATTTCTTCAACGCTGTTCAAGCTACAGAGTACTGTCCTGACGACATGCGCTGCGGCCTCATCGTTCCCATCTACAAAGCCGGCAAGCCTCTAGGACATCCAAAAAGCTACCGCCCCGTTATGCTCCTTTCCGTCGTCCGTAAGATCTTGACGTCAATACTCACCCGACGACACACACTCCATGTACAGTCATATGTGGCAGAGAGCCAAGCTGGTTTCCGCCCTGGCAGATCGACCACGGATGGTGTCTTTTACGCCAGGACGATGTGTGAGCGCGCACTACTTGGCGACTGGTCATATTCATCGGCACTATTGGACTTCAGCGGTGCGTTTGACACTGTCATTCGTCAGGTTGCTCTGGAGAGGTTAGCCACTGCTGGCGCACCAACGTCCACCACTGCAGTCCTAGTATCAAACACAACAGCCCGCACGAAGCTTGGTAAACAACTAAGCAAACCATTTCCAACGAACATCGGCGTCGTCCAGGGTGACCCAATGTCACCAATAATGTTTATAACTTACGCCGAAGGTTCCATGCGTAAGATCCGAGAGCAAGCTCTACCCGCGTCAGACCTACCAGCAACTTTCACACAATACGCAGACGACACCACTGCCCATCAGAACGAGCGATCATCTGTGGAAGAAACCGTCCGTGTGTGTGAACCCAATCTGAAGCTGAACGTGGCAAAAACTCAATATTTCACTGTGACCAAGGAAGATGATTCCTGGAAATC